CCAAGATCTAATGTAATATATGACATAAATATTTATTAAAGGAAAAAGGAGGGAGAGAGGGAATGAAGAGAGGAGAAGGGAAGAGCAAACAGACCTATAATATATCTTTCATTTGTATAATAAGAGAAGGCATAGAAGTCATAACACTATAGGAGATGGAAAAAGGAATTGTAAAAATTCTAGCCAAACCACCCGAAATAGTCCAGAGAGATAATAAGGACATGTAGTCACTCAAGGACGGGGATACACAGCACTGTGAGCTTACTTTCGCTAAAATAATTGGATTACAAGTGGCAGTCAGGTAAACAATGACAACAGTAAATGTTCAGTTGTTTTATTGTAGGAGAGTGGGTTGGAGAGGGGATATTGTTAGTAAAAGACAGTAATAGGGATAAAAAGAGATTGTTGAATACCCTAGTGAACGAATCTTGATTTATGTCTCAGGTTTTCTGAAAAATAAACCTGACAATTCATACAAGAATTCCTACTTTTAAAAATGAAAAGGCAGTAGCATTTTCCAAGTCATGGTTCCCAGATTAGAAATTTAATTCTTACTTTTTTGGATTTTTAGGAAGAGACTTTAAGAATTCTTACATCTGTTATCTGTAGCATAGAAAGTCATTCTTTACTTTGAGCACAACTTTTGGCAAGCTTTTCCTGTAAATGTTTGAATGCATGCTCAAGAAAGCTACAAAACCTTAAGGGAATATTTGGCAGCTGTGCAAAAGCAGTTGAAGCTGTAATTTTGTGGTTTATGATGTCAGGAAAGCCTATCAATTAAATTAAATCTTTATTTTGACTTTGGAGGTCACCACATTTCTGTATTGCCTACTACGTGTAAGAAGAAAACTATAGACTTAACCAAGAGAGGAGCTAAATCTGATCCTACCTACCCCTAGCTGTTGTTTTTGTTTGTTTTCTTGTTCATTTGTTTATTTATTTATTCATTCAACAAATATATATGTGGCATGCACTATCCCAAATAATTATTTGAGCATAGCCTGGAGCAAGAGGGATTCAGATCTTCTTCCTGTAATCTTTATTGGCTACACTAGATGTGTCATAGGAGTTTTTAGTCTTAAATCACCAGAGGATCTCCTCCTGTTATAATGAAAGCAGTTTTAATGTGAAGATATGACTATGAAAAGGTCCTGCCATGGACTTTCCTTACACAGCTATTCCCATGATTAGGAATAACAATTTTCCTCTAACAAATTCAGGTATTTGTGTGTTTTACCTAACTGTGTGTCTTAGTCTATCCAAGTATACATAGTAGTTTAATTCTTTTCAGCATATATAAAAATAATTATATAAAGCTACCTTAGTTATTTCTAGGTCTCATATTCAGTGATATGAAATACAAAGACATTTTCACTAACCTAATAATAGTAACCTTCATGGTTTTTGCTTTTTCTATCTATTATCAGTCACCATTTATGGCCCCAAATAGTATATTGCTCTGTGTTTGGTACTTTTATATGTTTACAGTCATAGCAATATAGCACCAGTCCTTGAGTCATTTACAATCTAGAGATACAAACAAAATAGAGAAACTAGTAATGTATACCAGTTTATAATGTAGCATTTGTATACAGCAGTCCAAGACTTTTGTTTTCATTGCTTCCCCCTTCACTAAAGACTTTCTAGAGGAAAAGTGACATTTTAATGGCATTTATAGGATGGAAACAGTATTTTTTATGGAATGATAAAGGAAGGTTCTTTAAGATAGTATTTATGTGCAAACTTAAAGTAAGGGAGTGTCTCCATTACCTATTGCTATATAGCAAACCACCCTAGTACTTACTGTTTAAGAGGCTTAAAACATGGGCTGTGGGTTAGCAATTTTTTTTTTTTTTTTTTTAATAAAAGGCCAGGTAATAGGGTGCCTGGGTGGCTCAGTGGGGTAAGCCTCTGCCTTTGGCTCAGGTCATGGTCTCAGAGTCCTGGGATTGAGCCCTGCATCAGGCTCTCTGCTCAGCAGGGAGTCTGCTTCTCTCCCTCCCGTCCACCCACCCCCCCATCCCCCGCCTCTCTGCCTACTTGTGATCTCTCTGTCAAATAAATAAAAATAAAATCTTAAAAAAAAAAAAATGATTAAAAAAAAAAAAAAAGGCCAGGTAATAAATAGTAGAGGCATTTTTTAGGCCATACCATTTCTGTCAGTTACTCATTCATATCTGTGGCTGTAGTGCAAAAATAGACACGGACAGTGCTTAAATGGATGAGCACTATTGTGTTCCAATAAAATTTTATTTTACAAAAACAGGTGGCAGATTGGATTTGACCTAAGCACTAAAGTTTTTTGACTCTTTCTTTTTTTAAAAAAATATTGTATTTATTTATTTGAGAGAGAGAGAGAGACTGCACAGGCAGGTAGAGGGAGAACCAAGCTCCCTGCTGAGCAAAGAGCCCGATGTGACGACTTGATCCCAGCATCCTGGGATCAAGGACCTTGATCCCAGGACGCTGGGATCATGACCTGAGCCGAAGGCAGCCACTTAACTGAGTCACCCAGGTGTTCCAAGTTTGTTGACTCTTGATTTAAAACAACAAAACTATTGGGGCGCCTGGGTGGCTCAGTGGGTTAAGCCTCTGCCTTCGGCTCGGGTAATGATCCCAGGGTCCTGGGATCAAGCCCTGCATTGGGCTCTCTGCTCAGCAGGGAGCCTGCTTCCTCCTCTCTCTCTGCCTGCCTCTCTGCCTACTTGTGACCTCTGTCAGATATATAAATAAAATCTTTAAGAAAAAAAAACAAAAAGCTATTAACTTGGCTTACAAATCTGCAATTTGGTTAGGGTTTAGCAAGGTAACCCATCTGCTCTACTGAGTAGCAGTTAAGAGTGGCTCAAAGGGTAAAGACTGGAGTCATCTGAAGATTCACTCACTGATAGGTATATCTCCAGGGCTAGGAACATCATTAGGGAATCCTGTCTCTGTGTGATCTAGAGACCATGTGGTCTCTAGCTTGGTAGCTTCAGGTTAGTTACGTTTCTTACATGTTGGCTCAGAGCTCCCAGTGTCTGTGACCAGAGAGAGAGAGACGGAAGTTGTATTGCCTTTACAGCCTGAAAAGTCACTCATTTGTTACTTGTTACCTTCATTACATTTTACTTGACTAGACCAGGAGTGGACAAACTAGCCCTTAGGCCAAATCCAACTGACTACCTATTTATAAATAAAGTTTTGTTGGAACAAAGTCATGCCCATTCCTTTATGTATTGTCAGTGGCTGCTTTTACACTACAGTGGTAGTGCTGAGTAGCTGTGACTAACATTTTAAGGCCTGCAGAGACTAAAATATTTATTAGCTGGCTTTTTACAGAACAAGTTTTCCAGTCCTGGGTGTAGGCACTTTCAGTGAGCCATCCATGGTCTTAATGCTATTGTATACATTGCTGCTTCAAACATTGGGGTGCACATGCCCCTTTGGATCACTACATTTGTATCTTTGGCGTAAATTCCCAGTAGTGCAATTGCTGGGTCATAGGATAGCTCTATTTTCAACTTTCTGAAGAACCTCCATACTGTTTTCCAGAGTGGCTGCACCAGCTTGCATCCCTACCAACAGTGTAGGATAACCTCCCCCAATCTTGCATTCTGTTCCCACCCACAGAAAACATGTGTCACTTCCTCAGACCTTCATGTTCTGTCTTGTGGGCTTCTGCTGTCCTTACTGGACTGGAAGCTCCATAGGAGCAGGAACATGTCTGTCTGTCTTTCTAACCTGTACCACCATCATAAGGTCTGGCTCATAAAGACACTTAATAAGTGTTTGTTGACAGTTTGAATGACAGGCTTATAACTTTAAGGTGAATTGCATTTTCTTAGTAACATGGGGAGAACAACTAAATTTCACATCAGATTCATTGTTAAGTCTGAACAAGAAAAATAAAATAACTGTGGTAAAATTATTTCTATGCAGAAAGCATATTGCAGTACAAAAATAGAAATATAAAAATTAATAATGATCATTATGTTAGTATAGTTAAATTACAAGGTTTTTTCCTTTAGGATATTTCAGATTTTCTAGAATTTTTTTTATTTCTTTTATTTAAAATGTTTTAAAAAATGAATTCAAATTGCATCTTAAGAATCTTAAAGATAGCATCTTCAGCTCCTCAGGTTATTTTGTTCCCAAATTTGACTGAATCCTGGGTCGTTACCAAGACCTAAAGCATAATACCTACTGGAGCCAATCTAAAATGTCTTTGTTTATATTCTTCTTCAGTAAATCAAAAAATCATTCCATTTTTAAAGTTTCTCTTTCTAAGATCAAGTTTCATATTGTTCAAAATAGTGAAAATGAGGGGGCACTTGGGTGGCTCAGTTGTTAAGCGTCTGCCTTCAGCTCTGTCCTGGGATCGAGCCCTGCATCAGGCTCCCTGCTTGGTGGGAAGCCTGTTTCTTCCTCTTCCCACTCCCGCTGCTTGTGTTCCTCTCTCGCTATCTCTCCCTCTCTGACAAATAAATAAAATCTTCAAAAAAAAAAAAGTGAAAATGATACTCTTGTTTTTTTCTTTTTTTCAATTTATCAAATGAGCCTTCGTGTACTTCCACATTTCTCTGAAATATTAACATCGTTGCTCAAAAAATGGTGCTTATATTTAAGTATTTGTAAGGTGTCTTGGAATATTTTGCCTTCAAGTCATTGATAAAGTCAGGCTCAGAGAAGTCACATGCGGTGCTGAAGGTCAGAGGCTTGAATAAGAGGTTTACTGGGAACAAGTCAAAAATCTTTCCATTCTTAGTCAGACCTCCTGAATGTAATACACAGTAAAGATGGTTCTCCTTGTATATATTTCTTTTAAAAAATAGTTTTATCAGTGTGTCAATGAGGAACTTAAAATGTATTTCTAACTTAAGGCTGCTGCTGATAATATTAAATATGGATAAAACCTCTGTGTCCTTTGGAGTCCTGTTGTTAAAAACAACAAACATTTTTTTCTAGTTTGAAGTTACTTGTGTACTGCATTCTGATCCTTTTCCCCCTTTCCTCCACAGTTGTGCATGCCTAAAGGGCTATCTTTCAGAACTCAGACGGACAATAAAGACCCTCAGTTCCACTCATTTATAATTACCCGGGAAGATGGCTCTCGTACCTATGGTTTTGTTCTGACTTTTTACGAAGAAGTTACCAGTAAGCAGATCTGCACAGCCATGCAGACGCTCTACCAGATGCACAATGCCGAGCATTACAGCAGTGTGTACGCTTCGTCCTCCTGCAGCATGGATTCGCTGGCCAGCAGTATTGATGAGGGAGACACCACTTCCCTTTTAAAACTCCAGCGGTACAACTCTTACGACATCAGCAGAGACACGCTGTATGTTTCAAAAAGTATATGCTTGATCACACCACTGCCTTTCATGCAGGCCTGCAAGAAGTTCCTCATCCAGCTTTATAAAGCAGTAACCTCCCAGCAGCCGCCGCCCTTGCCACTTGAGAGCTACATCCATAACATTCTCTACGAGGTACCCCTTCCACCTCCAGGGAGATCACTGAAATTTTATGGTGTTTATGAACCTGTCATCTGCCAGAGACCTGGACCCAGTGAACTCCCCCTTTCTGATTACCCTCTTCGAGAGGCCTTCGAGCTTCTGGGATTGGAGAACCTGGTGCAGGTGTTTACCTGTGTTCTTTTAGAGATGCAGATCCTTCTTTACTCACAAGGTAGGTCTTTCCTGGATTTTAAGTCTCCCCCAGAGAAGTGCATATGAATCCCAACTATTGCATTTCCATGGGGTATATTACTAGAACCAAATAATTAATGGTCAGAGGTCTTCTGTTTTGTGTAAAAGGAACACCTGTTTTAGGTGGGACCAGAGGCTAAGATATTACTTCTCTTTGAGGTGTCAGTGGCTGTGAAGAAAAACAGGAAAGCATACAAAAGCCTGAATCTGGCTGACTTGAGTATATTTATTTTTTAATGAAAATAGGCCCTTTTTTCCAGGTAGTACATAATCATAATAAAAGAAACATACTTGTTTTCATAATGGAAGTGAGAGAATGATGTTAGTACCAAGAACATGTAGCTGTCTTATTTTTTGCAGATGAGTAAAGGTTTCCACCAAAACTCAGTTGACGTTGGAAAGGCATAAATGAAATTGTTGACTCTGAAGCTTCCTAAGGCAATCAATTTTGGACCTTTGCCTGTGGGAGATATCACTAGTTGTGGCTCTCTTGAGTCTAACAGTTCTAGTAGAGTTATGTGGGGTCTTTTTGTTTTATTTTGCTTTTATTCCCAAAAGGAAGTTATCTTTGTGATGTTTTTCATTCAACGTTCTCCCAGCACATACTTAAGAAACTTAACAGAATTTGGGTTTTATTTGATGAATGCATTTATGATGGCTAATGTTGAGCTTAAACTTAGAGCACTGGCTCCAACCTGAACATGATTTTGCAGAAAAAATAGAGATGCTCTGTCTTAACGGATAGCGAGTTGAAGGAAAATATAAAATGGTTGCTGCACATCAATGGGTTCTTTGAAAAATGTGGCACAAATATTTGGGTTAGCTTTTTGCTAACTTGTATTTAGGCTAGCAGAATTGTGCAGTCTCCTGATGGCTGCCATCAAGCTTATTTTACCACTTCCCTTTTTTTCTTTTTTGTTTTAAATTAGAAGTGAGGCTGAGCCAAGTAGGCTATATTTGTACTTCCCCATCTTGTGTGTATGTTGACACTATTTGTGTGTTGACAGCCCTTCACGAGGTTGTATTTTCTTCAGTTTATCCTACGAAATGTTCTTTGATAATGTGTTCTGATGTCTCTATTTTTGTTGTCAGGAAGTTCTCCAATGACCAATTGAAATTCTCTCTTCCTCTTGCTCTTACTCTCTTAGGGTTTATCATTACCTGCAGGTCACTCGTTTGTATTTAAAACGTGTAACTTAGTAATTCTCTCTTCCTTTCTATTTCTTTCTTTCTTGCTTTTTTTCCTGAAAACAGCGAACAGGGTAGGGGGTTAGAGAGTTACTGGAAGGGGACAGGGCGTGGAACTAGATACCCTCAGGTGTATTAACCTATGAGAAAAAATAATTTCAGTCCTAGATTAACAAAGGATCTTTAAGTCATTTGGTTCAGTTTTAGCTCTGCCTAGAGAAGCAGTTTGGACCAGAAAGAATATTGGTTTTTAAGTCATAACAATCCTAGATTCAGATCTCTGTCGCATTACTAACTATAACCATAAGCAAGTTATGTAATCTTCCTGAGTGTCAGTTAATTAATCTTTATGGGGATAACAGGATTTTTTCCTTCTCTCTCACTGATTTATTGTGAAGGTTAACTAAGAAAACTACAGACTACTTTGGGTATAATTGGCACTAAATGATAGCTGATTTATTATAATTATTATTCATTTTATTAGTCCTACACAATCCTCTATAAATTATGTATATTTTAAGTTGCATGGGTCCACCATATTACTGCGTTTAAAGTATAGCTTTGTTAGATTAAATAATCAAGGCATCTGTTACAGGGTTGAGAGCCTAATAAATGTTCTTTTATACTGAATGTTAGGGCTTTTTTTTTCTTAGCAAAAAAACCCCTTTCATTGTCACACTTTCTCTTTTGAAAAGCACTGTATGTCTCACTGCATGTGGTCTGTCCTGAGCTCTCATCTTTCTGCTGTTTGATTAGCTTATCCCAGGCGGTTCATGGAAGCTGTTGAAAAGTTATAGTTGATTAATATCTGCCAGTTTAATTCAATTTCAAATGAAGAAGCATGAACATATTTTTGTACTAAATGAGGTGTTTTTTTTGGGGTTTTGTGGGATTTTTTGGTAATTTGGTTTTATCCTGAGAACAACAAATGAATCCTGAAGTTATAAAACACTCTCTCTCTCTCTCTCTCTGTGCGTGCGCGCGCGCACACACACACACACACACACACACACATTTACACACAAATTTTAAGTGTCCTACAAAAGAAAGCTTCATATGGTAATTTTATAACCATTCACTGAAATCACTCTGTGTTAGGAATTGGCTATGCTTCTCTCTTCAACAATGAGTTACTGCTCTTATCTATATTTTATTAAAAGGAAGTTGAGGGGCACCTGGGTGGCTCAGTGGGTTAAAGCCTCTGCCTTTGGCTCGGGTCATGATCTCAGGGTTCTGGGATCGAGCCCCACATTGGGCTCTCTGCTCGGCGGGGAGCCTGCTTCCTCGTCTCTCTCTGCCTACTTGTGATCTCTATCAAATAAATAAATAAAATCTTTTTTTAAAAAAAGGAAGTTGAGGCTCAGGGAAGCCAAATAACCTTCCTGAGATCACATAGGTATTAGGTAGTGTTGTAGAGTTAAGAATGGGGCTTGGATCTATCTTTCTCCAGAGCACTTAATCGCCATGTTAACTGTATTGGGCACTGCACTTCACCTTTCCTTATCTGTCTCAATATTTATTTTTAAATTATTAACTCACTCTACCAATCTGTTACAAAGAGATCATGCTAAATAACTATAGAGTATAAAATGAAAGCTCTGTATAAATGCAGATTTTAATACTGGCAATGTCTTTCCCATTAGAGAAAAAAGTTTCATTTAAATGAATGAAATAAGAGTCATTATGTTGATTTGTATCTGGTGCCCTCCTTCATTCTTACCATGTTAAGGGGGTTTTAATAACACCCAATACTCCTGTTCTTATACACTAATACAGCTATGCCATAAAATTTAAAAACATTATAAGTGCTAAACAATTACCGTGAAAACCCAAAGTGAATCAGAATAGAAGGGTTTTAGTGATGAAAACCGCCCTTCTAGACTGATTTGAAATTCTGGTCCATAGCCCATTTAAACAGATTCAATCTGCTATTTAGAGAGTGAGTATATCACACTCACGTTGTGGTGGTAACTAGCTAGAAATTTTAAGTAGAGAATGCACCCAGGAGATAGAGGCTCTTTTCCAGGACCCCAAATCAGAAAAGATCACTTTCTTCTGCACCCTGGAAGAACATGGAACAGGATGGGGGAAGTTTAGAGTATGATCCTCTTTTCAAAGGAATAGTGACAGAATAAAAGGGGAACTTAAATATGAGTGACTAACTTTTTTTTTTTAAAGATTTTATTTATTTATTTGAGAGAGAGAGAGAGAGAGAGATCACAAGTAGGCAGAGAGTCAGACAGAGAGAGAGAGAGAAGCAGGCTCCCCGCCGAGCAAAGAGCCCGACGCAGGGCTCGATCCCAGGACACTGGGATCATGACCCAAGCCGAAGGCAGCGGCTCAATCCACTGAGCCACCCAGGCGCCCCATGAATGACTAATTTTTGATACCAATAATTAAAGTCTCAAGAACAATTTTGGGACCTTGCTTACCTTCTTTGACTCCACAGCTCACACTGGACTGCCATGTCAGCCTGTGTGCCTTCACAGTGCCCCTCTCCCCTCCTTTCTTCCCTTCCCTCTAGTAAGTTGTGCATCAGTTAACCTTGTCAGAAAGTAGAAGCCACTTAAAGCTTTCTTGAAAAGGTTGGGAGTCTCCTAATCATAGATTGCTGCTTGTGCTCAACTGAACACCATAGCTTGTTGGTTATAGGGGTTTTAAATCATAAAAGCTAACTTGGGTATTTTGATGGAAGAAAGTGGGTTCCCATGACCTATACCTAAAAGCAGTAGAATTTAACTAACTTTGGCCAGTGTCTTTATATTAGCTTTATTTTGGGATAAATAGAATTTTAATATTAGGACTTTTTCTTATTGATGTTTTGTTTCATATTCAAGAAATTAATCCTTTGTCAGTTACATGTGTAACACATATCTTCATCTAATTTGTGGCTAATTTTAGTGATCTTTGATGAATTAAGATACTCTTAATATTCATGAATTTGTGGGGCGACTGGGTGGCTCATTGGGTTAAAGCCTCTGCCTTCGGCTGAGGTCATGATCTCAGGTGCTGGGATCGAGCCCCTGCATCGGGCTCTCTGCTCAGCAGGGAGCCTGCTTCCTCCTCTCTCTCTGCCTGCTTGTGATCTCTCTCTCTCTCTCTCTCTCTCTCTCTGTCAAATAAGTAAATAAATAAATAAAATCTTAAAAAAAATTCATGAATTTGAATTCATCGGTCTTTTAACTTACAACTTAACTTTCTGTTTCAGAAATTCTCTATTCAGAGATCATAAAAATAGACATTTTTTTCTTAATGTTTTAAAGTTATATTTAGCATTTAAGGCCTTAGTCTTAAGAAATTGATTTTTTTAAATCTATTTTTCCTTGTTGTAAGGAAGAGATCAAATTTAATATTTTAGAAATATCTCCAACTAGTTATCCTAGTCATTGGATAGACCTCTTTCTTCTTCTTCTGAGCAGGAGTATCATTAATGTCATATAGAAGTTCGTGTGTGTGAGGGTGTATTTCTGGTGCACTTCAGTTTATTCTGCCAGTCTTTTTGTCCCTCTACTAAATTACTGTAGCTTTAAAGTAAGTCTTGGCATCTGGTAGGATGGTTCCCTCATTACCTTATTTTTTTACCCAAGAAATAGACTATTTTATTCAATATACATTTTTCACATATCTGTATGGACAATACAAAATAATGACATCATTTTAGCACTTAGCTGAAAGAGAGCCTTCAGAATCATTAATCCTTCAAAGCCATACCATCATAAGAACTTTATAACATAGATAATGCTGTGCTACAGATAATAACCACTACCTTCTTTTTATTGGAATTGTGTCAAA